TTTCGTGGCTAGTAACATGTTTGTTTCCACTTTATTAACATTATAAGCAAATCAAGCCACACCATACTTACATATGTAAGCTTCACGAGCCTAATTATCAAGCTTGATTAGTTTTTTGGTGGTCTAGTACCATTTGTGTAATGGTGGTGTGTCTGAACAGATGGACCACCTCCATAGCCACCCAAGCTTTGGTTTGTTTCGTCGTCGTCGTCGCTGGCAGTTTTACTTTCTGTGTTACTGTTTCCCTTGTTTGAAGTAGGCGTCTTGGCATCATTTTCACCAGCGTTGCCCTTCCGACCAAGAGATGATGGTTCACTCAATAGATGACGGTTGGCCACCTTAGGTTCCATGGTGGTACTGAGCACATCTGCATCAGCTAGCAGAGATGCTAACATCCACAGGAAAGCAAGGAGAAGAGCTATCAAGATCTTCATCATGATCAGATATTTGTCTGCAGTATCCTGTGAATCAGCAGTAATTAATATGCTAAATTATTAGTTAAGATCCTTTCTTCTTCTTCTTCTTTTCTTTCAAAAACAAACTATCTATAGAAAGCAAGATGAAGGAACTGAAGCTAGATAGGGTAGAAATTACACACATATAATTTGCTTTGTCTGAGCTATGTAGAAACATGGGTCTAATTAGGGTTGCTATATGTAAGCAGGTTTTTCATCACTGTTTAACGATTACAATTGGATTGTGAGACCGATGAGAGATCAAATTAACTGTGCGAGCACTAAAAAAGCAAGAATGTACGTAGTGGTTGTATCACAATGTCGTACCGCCATTGGAAGAGGCAGTAGCCACCAAAGAAGTAATTATGATTAAGATTGATAATTAAGGCATTCTCATTGTATACGTTCAAAGATTGTCATAATTAATCATGGACTGTATATGCTGCCAATTTAGGGTTCAACAGTGTCGATGATAAAATGCGAAAGATGGTTAAAAAGTCTTCATACCTCCAATAATTGTTGGTCACCAATTACATTTAAATTTGCAATTTGGTTGACTGTATGTACATGAGAGTGTGTGTGGGGGCGGGTGGGTACGGTTAAATTCAATAATTATATCATTTCGCGGCTCAATCCTATGGCACCATTGCATGGTAAATCACCATAACGTACGGAGTCCTTTTTTTATATTAATCCGTGAGCAATCAATGCTTCCTGGATGAGACTTTTGCACCGTTTAATTAACGAACAAAACTTCTTTAAAACGTAGTGCCTGCGTTTGTCTACATACATTTTTTTATTGTTTGCGGTGAAAAAAGTAAGTAATGTATTTGGTAATATATTAAAATGTGTTTTTTTATTATAAGATATATTAAAAAATTAAGTTTGAAATGTAGTTTTTAAAAAGTAAATTTTTATATATTTTTCTAATTAAGTTTCGTAAAACTCTATTTATTTTTGTGTTTCAAAAATATTTTTTAAAAAAAATTTAATTTTTATACTTGATTTGTTTTAAAAATATTTTTTTAAAAAAATTTAATTTTTATACTTAATATTAATTTTTTTATGTTTTTAAATCATTTTGATGTACTGATATCAAAAATAATTTTTAAAAAATAAAAAAATATTTTGATGCATCTTCAAGTAAAAAGCATTTTTAAAAGCAACCACAACTACACAATTACCAAACATTTTATACATATTTTTTTATTGTATATAAACCTTAACTATAATTTTATCAAATATATATCTAAATCCAACTAACTATATTTAATTAAACCTACACAATTACCAAACATTTTATATATATTTTTTACTGTATATAAACCTCAATTATAATTTTTATCAAATATGTATCTAAATCTAACTAATCTTATTTAACTAAACTTTTTAAAATTTATTTTTTAAAAATTATAACCGTAAAAGTTACCTAGAAAACAAATCTTTTTAAAATTTATTTTTTAAAATTATAACAACCGCAAAAGTTATCTAGAAAACAAACACACTCCAAAAAATTTATTATTTTTAATGAATCACGGTTCTCCTCCAAAACATTATCCATGCTGTAATTCTCCCTCTTATTTTAAATAGTAATCACTTGTACCCTTGATTTGCCTCCTCAAAGTTAAGTTTTTAGTGCTGCCTGTCGTAGAAAACCTCTTTTCTAATTAACCATACGAACATTTGAAATTCTTTCTAACTCACAGACAGACAGTTCATCTGCTCATTCTTAAAATGAAATGAAAAGGGAAGAGAAGGAAAAGGAAATATATACATGTCTTTAACCCCTTCCTTTTGCAATTGGTTATATAGCCTATGCATGAAGTTTTTTGGTTTTGGTTTTCACTTACAAGCATTTTCACTTTTATCATTGACTATCATGCATCCCCAATTATGTGTTTTTACTTTCTTTCATTTTTTGAAAAACTCACCATGCATTAATTGTATGATTGATAGAGCCTTTTCTCGCATGGCCGGTTCGATCTCGGTCCCTAACTGATCAAGTCTTTCCTTGTCTTGTAAGTTGAAGTTCTTAATGTTGGGCACTATCTATTGAAGCATGAACAGTTCCAAATCCATTTTTTATTATTCATTATATAGAAGATAACCGTAGCTTTTATCGTCATTTCAATTTAATGCCAGGAGAGGATTTCTTTTGAGTTAAGCATGTAGATTATTTTACTCCAGGTGGTATAATTATTCATTTGAGAATCCATCTCTATTTCCCCTTTGTATATTTCACCAGCAGTTTGATCCCTCGATTGTTGTTACAAGTCTGACAACATATTTTCAGTTACTCATTCAAGATGCATGTCGGATATCTTAAACACAGAACAAAGACTGCAGTCACTGATCAAAAACTGCTCAAATGAATCTTGAACTAATAATATTGTGTGTTAATGCAGTAATTATTTTGACTATGAAAGTACTTAAAGAAAATCGGAAACAAAAACTATACAAGCAGTTGCATTTTTGGATATGAGAAATATATATGAAATGTCAATTTAATGTTAAAATTATGTCTGAAGATAGATGATGATTGATGAATTAATTAGTTTCGCAGTGCATAGATTTAAGCGGAAACATCAATTCTAAGTTATATCAGACCCCACGAGGTCACCATCTATTCTAATTATGATTATTTTTATGGAGTAATGATATTGTATGCTGTTAAGGAATGGTTAATTGAAGAGAAACGGAACAAAACCTCATGTTTCTTACTATAATCACAAGCTGTAGGTTAAGTGGAATGATTTTTTGGACACTTCTTAGTGCCAAGACCTCATCAGCCACAAGAGGTTTGAAAGTACCTCTGATCTGCCACCACCCACACCACAACACCTGCGCCAAATGGCTCCTAATGAGAATAAAGCCTTGGCTGCTTCGAGATTGCACTTAAGGAAACCATCCAACAGCTTGTTCCATACCTGACGTAATTCTGCTCCGGTGCCATGCGACAGTGACGGATGAGGAATGTACTGCCTTCTATTGATCAAGGAAATCGAGCCCTAAACTTGTTACTCTACTGCTAGACAAGCTGATGGAGTTCCATAGTCTATCTTTGCGGTGCCTCCATGCTACTGTGGTTATCTTGGTGAACAACTCCCCATCAGTTGCCTGCAACTGCATAAACATCCAGTTCCTGAGTCCTTGCATCACCGTTATGCATGGTAGGCTGGAGTTCACCAACAACCTTGAATTAATGAACGGGCATTGAAGTAATATATGATTAACGGTTTCCTCCTCAAGACCGCAAAGTATACACCTACGTACTATCTTCAATCTCCAACACTCTCTGTTATAGGCCGGCAACACTCTCTGTAATAGTCCGGCACGAGTAGGTAGACTATCATGACAAGCCCTCCAAATGAAATGTTGGAAGAATATTAATACTTGTGGTACGTGTTAATGGATAGCAAAATACTAAGCAAATTTTTTTAAAAAAAAATAGAGAGTAAGCAAATCTTATTGTATGTTTTCTCTCATGTATTATTTTTTATATATTTTTATTTATGTTTATTATCACAAGTTTATTTATAAATCTTAAGTACTGGACAAATAAAAACTTAAACTACTCAAAGAAAAATATTATCTGAATAGTAAATATATTTTGCTAATTTAACACCAATTGATTATTTTTTAACCAGTTGATCAATTTATTTCATTAATTCAACTGGTTAAATAATAAATATATTTTACTGATTTAATCAGTTGGCTGATCCATTTAATTTAACTAATTTATCGATTGAGATTGATTCCTCTGTTTTCCAAAAATAAAAAAATCCAATTTACTTTCAACATGAAATACTTTATTTTTGGAGGGCTTTTGAGTTCCATGGTCTCCTCCAAGTACCCTTCACAGGATTAACTACTTCCAAGGCTACTCGGTAACCTGTCTTTGCCGAATACATATCTAGTGAAATAGAATAAGAAAAAGTAATCCAAGCAAGTCATTCTGGTTGTCAATGGGCAACAATGGAGGGGGGAAGAAAGTAAGAAAAAAAAAACGACCCGAATTTTCAAGGATAGGCATTAAAACAGGCCGTTTAGCAAATCACTAGCAAAAAACAAAAGGTAAATTAAGTACTACTACTTCTTCACTCCTTGCACGTCAAAATAATCTCTCTCCCCGCGCAAATTCCGTTAATTCCTCAACATCCATAGCAGTCATGTTCATAGCTGATAATAATGAGCAGCCACTACCTAGGCTATTCTATTAGGCGCCTGATCCGTAGCGTCTGCCCTCGGAGGCTTCACTTCCATTAACAACAAGAAAGAAAATCAAGCCTCCAACTTCTTCTTACGTAGCGTGTAATTTGGGCCCTGTTATATTATTTAAGCCTAGACCAGGCCCGGCCCATAAAAACTCTCTACAGACCTCCATCCTCAATCATGTTTATAGCCGTTACTAGCCCCCCCAAAACAGAAGCCATCATCAACCATAATTTAAGCTGTTAAGCACTCAATCAGTAACCTCCATCCACTATAGGAATTAGGAGTGTGTGTGTGTGTGTGTGTCTATATATATATATATATATATATATATATGATAACACCCCCCCTTGTTCTCCTCCATCTCCTTTTTCATAATTCGGCAAAGGAAAGCAAGCAAGAAAATCAAAACTCAATAGTCCTCCCGCCAAAAACAAAACGCTCAGAATGAAAGCTTATCAAACACCATCAAAAAAAGAACACTACGCTCGAACTTCTTCTGATCGCATATGCAAGGATTCTCTGTTGAAGAAGCCTCTAAAGGTTCATCAATTAATTTAACTCCAAACCCTAACTTCTCTCTCTGTTTTTTTTGTTTTCAAATTCAAATTTCCTTTTGATAATCTCTTACCAGTCGTGTCACTTGTGTAGAATGCCAAGAAAAGCTTGGACGGTGCGTTTATCTCGGCTACTCAAGGTGTTTCTCCGGAAATCAGCAAGGAATCGAGTGATTTATCTCCGGTTTCGGAGATCTCTGATGCTAATCATTGTTGCCAAACAGCATCGGTAAATTTCTCCTCGTTTCATTCAAATCGTGTATTCCCTCTCTGTTTTTTTTTTGTCGTTTTGATTCTTTATTTAAGCTCTTCTTCTCTATATTCATGTGCCTTTACATAATTTTAGATTGATAAGTTTTGATTATTTAGGTTTTTGTTGATGCGTTTGATTTTGTTTCAATTTCGTGCCTTGATTTTTATTTTTTTGCCTCTTTCGTGAATATGATCCTCATCTTGGAAGGATTTTTACTCCCCCTAATCTGCGTGTTTTTAAATTGTGTTCCTCTTTTCTAATTATAGGTGTGTGTCCGTGTATATATTTTCCCAAACCACGAGCGTGTTTCTGTTTTTTCCGTTGCTTGTCTGGCACCATTCTAATTGTGCATTTCATTTTACGTCAGCTTTTCCCGCATGCATAATCATTGTCGTGGAGTAATATTTTTCTAATTTCCGTTGATTTTCTTTTAGATAATCCATATAAATGTCATTTAACATTTCATTTTCAGTTTGATATTTTTTTGGGGTAAGAAAAAATGGCGGTTGTGAAGTGATTCGCAAATCTTTTGATGATATTTTATGTGTTTGATACATGTGATATTTAAGCACTTGTGCTTCTTCTTGTTTTTTTTTATCTTTTTAATTAGCTATATTTTTTATGTTTCATGTTTGGTTTATTTGGATCAATATGTTTCCCCGGTTTCAGATCTCCGTGTTAGCTTTAAATCCAGTTGTTTCAGCTTCAACAGAAATATCCTCTCTCCCAGATATTACCCCAAATTCAAACACCATCACCATCACTGATGATTCGGGCAGTATTTCTACGGATTGTTATGGTGTTAACAAACAATGCAGCTCGAAGATCGGTCAAGTGGAGGGACTGGAGGCAGATATTGTGGTGAATCTTCTCAAACAAGCTCGAATTGAGGTTTCGAATGCAGATGTTCAATCAAAGAAGCTTCTGGATGCATTGATTAAGGTTGTCATAGATGACTTTTACACTCTAACGGGAGAGAAAGACTTGACAAATTGTTTTGTTTGGATAAAAGGGCGTGTCGTATGTTTGTGTTTGTTGATTTGGAGCTTTGCGGTGTCTGGGTTCCTCTTGCTTGATCTGGGATTGGGTAGCTCCGGTGGTGGACCGCCGCCTACTTAAACTATTTAGAGGAAAGGGTATGAGTTTTGTTTGGCGGGTTTAGTTTTGTTCATTTATGATATGCCATTGAACTTCTTTGACTGACCTTACAATTGTTTGTTACAGAGTAGAGGATCAAGCTAATTGGAACCTGTGACTGTAAGGTATACAGTCTTGTTTTGAATGGTTGTATCACTGTGAATGTCTTCGATTCAGAATATGATGGAATAAGGTTCTTTCTCGGATTCAAAGTTATCACTTGTAAATTTTGGAAGGAATGCCTCTTCATCTCTTCCCTTTCAAGGTTATCACTTGTAGATTTCTGGATCACTCACGCCATTTATTTTTCCTGGAGAGCGTTTCTTTTAATGCAAAATCTCCTTGACACTACTGCTGCCAGAGCTCCGTTTGGAGACATGTAATCAAAATAACTTGGCTATCAATGCCAAGCCCCTTGTCTCTCATTTTCTTCTGCTCTTGCTACTTATTATCCTCTGCAGTTGCTTCGGCCAGTGAAATGAGTCTAAAACTCATTATATCACTTCCTTTTAGATGGTATGCTGGCAGGCACTCCTGTCGTGGTTCTATTTCTACCACGTCAATTCCTTAAAATGATAGGTGCATGACTTTTTTCTTATGGTATAGGTGCTCTGTTCATCTACTCCGCGTAAATAGTGAGCCATTGCCGATGACCGATGTTATTTTGATTTGCTTGGGCCTAGTTGATTGCCCGTAGCTCGATGATGTTGAAAATCAACGTCATTAGGTACTGCCCTCTTCCGTCCTGATGCCGATATATCAATTTACAAACACGATTCTAATTTGAGATTCCTGTTTCCACTTTTTCCTGGTTTGCCATCTCGTCTCTCCGCCCTGAGCTTGACAGCCACGTTAGTTTTTTTTCCATCTAGTAATAATTTGAGGAAGCCCAGCCAAGCCAGTAGGTGGCATGACTGATGTTGCTTGGTGTCCATGAATGATCCATTCCTAATGCCAAACGATAAAAGCATTTCTTGTGCGGAAACCAACCTAAAAAAATAGTTACAATCAAATTCTATATTACGTCTACCACTAAATATGGAAGCATTTAAATACGTAAACCTCGTATAATTAGTCCTCGCTAATACATAGGACTCCTCTTAGCGCAAAATTCTAGCAAATCCGCGAGCATGTCCCATCATCGTGTAGAACAATTTCAATCTCCCAGCTGATTTTGTCGAGTGAATACGCTTTTGTCATCTAGTCAACTTCCAATCAGACTATCCACTTTGGAAGAACGTGGTTTCCAACCAAGGGTTGATAATGATATTAGTCAGCGGTGGAGGGATTCATCTTTAAGGCCTTGTAGATTTTACTTCTAGGAGGCGGCAACGATCTTGACATCGGCAATTGTCTATAGGAACACAGAACAAACAAATTTACTTTTGAGGTTACCAGCTACGCGGACAGTCCGAGGAATGATAGCAAGCAACCATTGGATGTGTCAGTAATCACTGTTAATATATGCATGATCTTTGGCCACTCGTAAAGTTTTCTTGTTGGAAGGAAACGAGGAAGAAATAAATGGAGGGGCCTCTGTGAGTTCAAGTAAGACAAAATAAGAAAGTAAGTTCATATAGCTAATCAGCATGCCGTCCAAGGAAAGTCTTAGGATGTAACTTGTCGCGAGGAAATCTCACTGCTAGTTGAATGACTCCGGATCGAGAGAACAGCATGGAGTACATCGGTCAACCTTTGCAAGTCTGAAGATTATATTATTTCACAGAATAAAAGGTAGGGAGGGACACAATTGTAATTTGGTTCACCGTGGTAGCATTGAATTGCACCAAGACAACACCATCACAAGTTTTCAAAGCTTAATTTGAATTATTTTCTGCTTCTTAGCATAATAATTAATTTATTAAATATTAAAGGATGTGGCAAAATTACAGGAGTTACGCTTACAAAACTGAATTATATTGTGTTTTTTATTTTATTTTTTAATAATATCTTATTTTAAAATTTTTATTTTTATTTTTTTTTATTTTTTTTTCATGGCTGCATATCAGTCTCGTAAATTTATTTTATTTTTTAATAATATCTTATTTTAAAAATTTTATTTTATAATTTTTTTATTTTTTTCTTCATGGCTATATATCAGTCTCGTAAATTTATTTTATTTTTATAAATTTTAATATTTAATATTAGATTTGTTGGAGTTTTTTTATTTATTTTTTATGGATTTATTCACATTTCATGACATAAGTTATAGATTTAATATTAGATTTGTTGGAGTTTTTTTTTTATGAATTTATTCACGTTTCATGACATAAGTCACACGGTAATTTGAGATGACTTGGATTATTTTTTTATTTTTTAATTAATTTTTTTATTTTATCCCTCAATGTTATGTTGGTTAAATATTGAGATTTATTTTTTTAATTTATTTTTTATAGAGTTTTTTCAATTTCATGATCTGGATCATAGATCTAACGGGTTGACACGGGTTGACTTTATTTATTTTTTTCAGGTTCTTTTTTCATTGAATATCTTTTTAATAGAATTTGTAATTTATTTTATTTTTTTATAAAATTATTTTGATCTCGTGATATAGGCTATGATTGTGTCAAATTGAGCCAAGTTTGGGGCCTTTTTTAATCGATTTTTTTTAATTTCACCTTTAAAGAATCCAATTTTTTTTATAAAATAGTTTTTTTTTAATTTTATCTTTAATATTATGTTGTTTGATGACTGACCTTTATTTTTTTAAAAAAATTGCTTTGTGTGGAGATATAGTCTTGTGGATTTTTACTTTTTATAAAGTTATATTGATCTTATTACACGAGTTACGAGTTTAAAATATTAGTTTAAATTGATTTAAGTTGTTTACTTTAATAGTCTTGTGGATTTTTACTTTTTATAAAATTATATTGATCTTATTACACGAGTTATGAGTTTAAAATATTAGTCTAAATTGATTTAAGTTGTTTACTTTGTTTATTTTTTATTTTATTGTTAAGCATTGGGTTCATCAAGGATTAGATTTCATGATTTTTTTTATTTTTTGTAATATTTTCACAATTCAACCTTAAATTTATTTTTTATTTTATTGTTAAGCATTGGCTTCATTAAGGATTAGATTTCATGATTTTTTTATTTTTTGTAATATTTTCATAATTCAACCTTAAATTAATTAGAAATTAAAATTTATAATTTATTTTAACATGATTTTTATAAAATCACCACGATTTCATTACCTGAATTATAAAATTGACAAGTTAACATAATATATCATTAACTTAATAGCTGAAAAAATATATATTTTAATACATTATCATATTAATATTTAAAAAATATTTCATCCAATATACATTATAATTCAAGTTCATAATTATTGTCATCTTACCAAAAAAAAAAAACATGCTAGCAAAGCTTTAATATTTTTACAGATAAAAAAAATTAATTTCACAGTAAATAATTGAGTTATTTTTCTATAAAAAAAAGTACAAGATGTTTTATAAAAAAAAATATGGTAAGTAAATATAAAAGATATATATGGATTAGTAAAATTTACAAACAATTATCGTTTTAAAACAATGATTGAACCATTATATGTATTTTTATATTTTATATCATATTTTGACGGGATAATTACTAAAACATCTCACAAGATTTGATCGATTTTATATTTTATATCATATTTTGACGGGATAATTACTAAAAAATCTCACAAGATTTGATCGATTTTTTTTTTTTTGTATTTTAAAAAATTACACTTATATTATGTTCAAACAAAAACTTAAAAAAAATCAAAAAAATAAAGAAACGAATCCTATCCACACTCAACTCTCTCTATTTTGACTCGGTGTTTCCATCTCAAAATTCACAGTCTCTCTCGTCAAACCTGGAAATATGAATCTTAAACTGATAAATGAATCCCACATCAAACTCCCAAAGTTCTCGCTGGACCCTCGAGTTCTTACCACTCAAGCCCTCAACAAAAGGGCATTTAAGTAGCAAATGAGAAGAAAAGTGTAGATCTCGAGGGCCAAAAGAAAAGGCAATAGAGGAAGCAGCAGAGAGAGGGAGAGGAGAGTCAGTGAATGTTGAAGTGGAGACAAATTTTGCGAGAGAAAGACAGGGTGGTGGGTTTAGAAGAGGAGGAGAAAAGGCAGGAGAGGTAAAAGAGATGTGTCAGTGATTCAAGGATTAAGTTGAAGATAAGTAGACCAACAAGGGATTACGAGGTTCATTTTGAGAGTAAGACTGGTGCTTCAGATACAGAGTGTGAGGACTCGATCAATGGCATGGTCGTATCTTTTAGGCAGACAAAAACTTCGAGAGAACGAAGGTTGACAAAGATACGAGAGGTTTTAACTTTTAAGGTTATTCGGTTTTAAGAGTTCCACTTCCATCCCTCTATTTTAAAATTGCGAAGGCCTGGGATTTGTTTCAGGAAAAAAAAAAGGAGATCAAACTCTTGTATTCGTCCTGAAATTCTTGAGCTTGCAAGAACTATAGTCGGATGGTGTGGTGGTTTGCCCCTTACACTAGAACTATAGTCGGATGCTGTAGATGGAATATGGTTTGCATTATGCAAGTGAAGTGTTTGATAAAAGGTCTAAAAGGGATGAAATATTGATTACCAAGTCATTTATTTTTTTTATGATAAAGATATACTAGTATTACAAGGCTTTTTAAATATTGAACGAACAATAATAACAGGTCCTGTAAATAATTAAATATTTTTTTTAAAAAAAATATAAAATGTTAATGTGTATAAAATTCAAGATATAAAATATAATTTCTGAAACTAAAGAAAAAATAAAAACATGATCAATCTTCAGAAGATTTTATTTTTTGGAACTTCATTCATGTCTACAATCCTGACGCTCATCACATCTTTAACGAAAGTGGTTCGAAAGAATCTCAGATAAAGACACCTCATAAATAATTTGACAATTAGATCATAAGTTAATTGGACAATTAGTCCTTTTCTTTTCAGTCTTCACGAGGAGACAACGAGGCATCTAATTTGACAATTTGATCGTAAGTTAATTGGAGGAGCTGGAGGCCCAGTGGTTACAACTGGACTTTCACACATGGCCGTGCCTTCACTTGATTTCGGGCGGTGAGCTCTTTATTTTATTTTCAGTGGCGGTTTCATGACAGGCGTCCTGTTGTTTCAGGATCCAAGAGATGAAGAAGAGGGCCACTCTTGAGGGTCGGGCAAGGGTGTGAGTGGCGATGATTTGGTGGCAATCAATGAAAGTTTTATTAGTTTATAGATGATGGTGAAGCTTCTTTTATCTAGCTGTACTTAAAGGCAAAGAAATGGGTGTAATCCACCACCTTTGCTACTTGAAAAGTTTGTGGAATAGGAATAAATTATATATTTCTATAGAGCAAATTGTACTTAAAGAAATGGTTAAGTATAATCAAAAAGAAAATTCAAGTTATTGGAGCGAGCCTTTGTGATAATCATTCGACGTGTCCCTTCCATCCATCCACTGGCATCTCCTGCTGGTATCCT